TGCTCACTATTTATTGCTGACTTTATCTTATATTATCTATACTTCTTCATCTGTTGCTCACTATTTATTGCTGACTTTATCTTATATTATCTATACTTCTTCATCTGTTGCTCACTTTTATTGCTGACTTTATCTTATATTATCTATACTTCTTCATCTGTTGTTCACTTTTATTGCTGACTTTATCTTATATTATCTGTACTTCTTCATCTGTTGTTCACTATTTATAATTCATTTCGATTCGTTCTCTCTCTCTCTATTTCGTGATTTCCTATAATTTACGGTTTCTTAAGTATTTCTGTATTTACATTTTTCTGTTAATAACTTTGTTTTCAGCTCGTTTTGTTCTCCTTGACATAATTACTTTTATTTTCATTTCTCTGTGTTTATTGTGTTATTGTTTTTTCTTCCCTTGTCTCTTAGTTCCATACCGTTTAAAACCTTTTATATTTCAGTGTGTGTTCTTTATTGGAGGTGCTTCTTCAATGTATTTTTATAGTTAGGTTTATTTCTCCTGAGAGACTTTTTTTTTTAATTTGTTATTATCATTGCTATGTATCTTTGCTCTCTCTTTTTTTTCTTCATAATTTTACTTCGCTGTTCATATTTATAGCTTCATTTCTTTTTTGTACTTTCTGTTTCTCTCTCGTTTCTTCTAGCTTTTTGTTCTCTTTCTCTCTTCCTATATTCCTCCTGTTTCTCTTTCTCTCTATTTATACCTTCCTTTATATTATACTCTTCCTTTATACCTTGTTCTCTCTTTTTTGTCGTTTTCGTTATACATTATTGCAATCACTATTTATCTAATTTCCTATTCTGCTGGACTATCTTATTCTACTTTCATCTATCTCCTCTAAGTTTCACGCTTTACTTTTTACTCTTTACATCTAATCTTTTCCGTCTGTTTCTTTTACAACGCTTTTATTATTTTCTCTAAATAATCTCTCTGACCCTTTGTCTTTAACATACTTATATTTGTCTCACCTGTTTTGCATTCATTCTAACTTCCGGTTGCTTTGTCTTGTACTTTCTTTCATTTCACTTCTAGATTTTTTAAAATTTTTGTTTTTCATGTCGGTGATCAAACTGGCTCGTCGCCACATAGCAATCTAGCAAAAGAGTAGAGTCAGCCAAACTCTGCTGGTATAGGTTCAGAGGTTTATTATATTGAAGGACAGACAGTAGTTAGTGATGAAAGAACTATTTTCTTCTTTTTGTTCCAGTTTGAATCTTACTGGAAACTGCTTATTTTTTAACTAGTGTACTTTGATGAACATATAGTATCCACACATCAAAAAAGAACTTGTACACAAAGTTATGAATATAGTGGAATTTAGTGGAATATAGAAAGGTCAGAGATCCCCTGAGGTTCAGGTATAGCCGTCGTTAATTTTAACTGTTGACCCGACGCCCCAAGGGCTATGAACCAAATGATGGGATTAACTGTCATTTTTACAACGAACTCGTGTATAGTGGCATCACGTTTCGAGACTTGGACTGTTCGATACGCAGCCCGACACGTTAATCACTAGGATTATGTCAGAAAATGGTTGCCATACTCACGGGGTTTTAATAGACGCTCTAGAAAATGAATAATTTGTCTATTTAGAATTATTTGCGATTATTAGTTATCAATTGTCGGTAAAAGGAAAACAAGAAACTAAAAACGGCTGGAATCGGTATTTGTCATTCTCAACATTAATTATACCTTATGCGTTACACGAACCAATATATATGTATATATATATGTATATGTTAGAAACCTCTAAGATCTAGGAATATCTATGTGTAATTTGAAACTGCTGACCAGAGAGAGGCCAAATAGTCAAAAACAACCGTCGCCTATGAGGCTATTCTAAATCGAAAAGCGAGATTCTTAGACTGACGTGTGAATAAAACGCTTACATAGCTGAAAGTGTAGAGCCTGTATAGAATACCTGATTTATTTTACATCTGTTTTTAGCCAATGGATATGTATTTCAAACTCTTCTCGTACTTAGGCATACGGCTCTTAAAAATACATTATTACTAATGTATAAAAGGCTGTTCCTGCCCTAATGTTTATCAGTAACGGCTCTAAATAAGTACTGATATTATTTTCCTAAAGGACAGGGTTAAATAACCAGGTCACAAATTCCATGGAGTTTCTGGTATAACTGTCAATAATTTGGAAATACTGGTCAGTTAATCAGATGGAAGGCAGCCAGTCAGAAGTATCTACTGCCACGAGAGGTTTTGTCTGGCTTTTAAGTAAATAAAGAGATGGACCGTCACTATTATAACGCCGAAAATGCGGTGTGTGTTCAGTGGCATCGCGGCTCGAACCTTGGACCTTTCGATCCGCAGCCCCGCATGCTAACCAACAGGCCACACCTTGTCTCTCTCAATAACTGAATATGTTCCATTTTGTTCTCTCAGCTTTACGGTACAAGACGTGGATAAACCAGAACGACTTGGATCGATTAGTAAGTGGTAATGTGTGTGTGTGTTATCCTAATTTGAATAACACCTTCATAATACAGCGGAAGTCTGAAGGCTTAGGACGCTAAAAACCTGGTTTCGATACCCATGGTGGGCACAGCACAGATATTCCATTGTGTAGCT